TCAGCAGAATAGGACCCGCTCTCTGCTTTATTATTATTGTTTTCCCTTCTCGGAGTCCCAATTTACTCTTCTCTCCCTGATTCTGGGACTTCTCTGTTTTGCTCTGTCAGCGCGCGGCAGCGCAGGGGAGCGACTCGCTGCGCTTGAGCAGACTGCACGCAACGGTGCCATGGCGAAGCTGGCGCTAAGGGTGTTTACTGCGTGACTTCAACGCACAGAAATTGTTAATAGCACCTGCAGGATTAGCTAATAAGTAAGGATGTGGCTAGATGGTTGCAAAAAATAAGATGTGGAGAGTCTATTTTAGGAGTCCCTGTGGTCTCTCCTCTCCCTAGTATTTGGCCCCTCTCAATTGAGCTGAGCCCAGGACGCTTCTGGAGGAGGTATGTTTCCAAGACTTCATCGCTTGCCTCCTTAGCAGATGTTTGAGTGACACAGTTTGCCACTCAGATGCAAGGCTTCCTTGGGGAAAGGAGCTGACTTAAAATTTAGTGTTAAAATAACCTCAGTAGTTAATGTGATCTAAGTACCGCTCGTACTGTCATCCAGATCTAAGCCTCGATGATGCATTTTTCTTTGTGTGAAACTAACTTGTTCTGTTGTTACTGTTCAAATCTGATCATCCTTCTAGGTCTTAAATCCTTCTAAATGTAAACTGTGGAAAACTATTGGGTCAAACTCCACTGTACGTACCTAAGGTCCCAAGTGACCAGCAGCGTAGGAGTATCTGCTGTGCTCAATGTGACTTCCCCGTTACTGCACGACTGAAGTGCTTCACAGCCTTGCTGTAATTATCTTTGCAAATATGCTGTTTATCCTTGAAGTAGTTCTGAGAGTCCAGTACGCTCTCCATTTTGTAGATAGAGCAAATAGCGACAGAGGAACTGAACTTGTCCAGGATCACGCAGGTGGTATCTAGCGAAGCAGTGAAGTGAATCCACATCTCCTGAATCCTCGTGTTCTAGCAGTTAAACATCCTTTCTCTCCTCTTTAAAGTTACTTGCCTTTTTCTCACATCAAAGGTATTCTGGGACACATCTCAGCTACCAAAAAATCTAAACTGCAGCCAATGACATTTGTGTGAAGTTCTTTAACATCTCTTGGGTTTCCAGATTAAATGACAGATTTCATGAGAAAGGAGAAAATAAAATGATATTCTTTTTACAGCCTAATTCCCGCACAGGCAGATGTGGCTGTGAAATGTTTCTGGACTAAACAGTAGCTTTAAAGAATTAATTCATCCATGTCATCATCATCTTTTTTTTCCTCCCTCTAGGAAATTGTAAGACTACTATTTTAACTTCCACGGAAAACTGACTTTATGCATTTTTTCTTAAGTGTAATCAGCAAACAAGAGTGGAGGGTAGGTTGGGGAAAAGAGACTTATTGATCTCTCATCTCTGCTTTTGCTCTTTACTATGGAGCAGTTGAGCTTTCTTCTGGAATTCTGACGTTTTCCACAAACAAGGAAGGACGCTGAAGGAATAATCGTGGGTGCCTATCAAGTACATTCTCGTGCAACTTGCATTTTTTTTTAATGTCCTTTATAAGCTTGCCTTGCACATTCATAAAGCCGCTTGCCATGTGAGAGAACTCAATCGTCAATCTGACCAGACTCTAGCATTAGTCCCAATTGAAATAATTTCTAGTTCTTAGTTTGGTGGAAAATCGCCTTCTAATATAGTATGGTCTTTGAATCTACTGACAAATTATAGGCCTTTTGAGTTTCCACAGCAGCAAGAGGAGTGAATTTGTGAAGACAGATAGTTTTACTGCTTATCAAAACATTGAAATCAATAGTACTAGAGCAAGAGCAAAAGCAGCTACTGGCTGTAATCATGGGAGAATGCTTGGCAAAGCCTCCAAATGGAATCTTGGAGGCATTGTTCTCATGGGAACATCCTTCTCCCTCTTTAATAGTCTTTTAATATCACTCCATAGCCTAAAATATCTGATGCCTTTTTTAAAAGGCCCTGCATATGTAGGGCAAGTTCTGGATTTTTTTTTTTTTTTTTTTGCACATACAGGCAATATCTAGATGCACTGAAATACAGTGCGAAGAATCCTAAAGGACTGGCAGCCCCAGTCCACTGAAATGTCATCCACCCTCCAGTTCACGTTCATTTTCTTCCTTTACCTTACTTGATAATATTTTAGATTAAGCTTTTAATGTAACCCTCTCACCCGAAGGTGCATTGGAAGTCTGCATACTTTGAGCCCCTTCATGGTGAAAGGGGTTAATGTATACTCTACTGTGTGGGGCAGGCTGTTTTGAGTGTTTTACTTTGTGGTCACCATTAGTTCTGGTAGAATTACCTTGAGGACGTTTAGATTTTGAGTTAACTCAGTGACCATCATGTGTCATTTCGCTCATTTGGGTGAATTGGTTGATTTTTTCAATTGATGGTCTCCTTTGTATTTCCTCTGCTCAAACAAGTACCTGGTAAATGGAATGTTAATCAGGCGCAGGACAGCTAATTTGAACAGAAGGCTTGGTATTGTTCTTATACCAGGTTTTTGTTTTTAGTATTTTGGATTCCAGGGTACGTAGTGAGAACTGACACTTTATCTTTTTACAACTGTAAGAACTTTTCTGATCTTTTATTCCCTAGAACATGGTGATGAGTTTCCGAGTCTCGGATCTTCAGATGTTGCTGGGTTTTGTTGGCAGGAGCAAAAGTGGACTTAAACATGAACTAGTCACCAGAGCATTGCAATTGGTTCAATTTGACTGTAGCCCTGAAGTTTTCAAGAAGATTAAAGAGCTCTATGAGACTCGCTATGCCAAGAAGAGCTCTGAGCCAGGGCAGCCCCAGCCACAGCAGCACCGGTCTCCTGAGGCACTCTCCATACATTCTTCATATGACCGTGGGAGCACTGTTGCTAGGACTTCTATCTCAACTAATAATATTGACTATCCTGCGCTCTATGGGAAATACCTTAACGGACTGGGAAGGTTGCCGCCCAAAGTTGTGAAGCCTGAAGTTCGGCTCGTGAAACTTCCCTTCTATACGACCCTGGATGAACTGTTGAAGCCAACAGAGTTAGGTGAGTTGTCTGTATTCTGGTGCTTTTCTGCTGGAGTCGGTCTGGGAAAGAAAACTGAAATAGATAACAAGTGTTGAAAAGATGGCAGTGTTTTCAAGGATCAGTAAAATTGTGTGATGGAAGGAGCCCCCCCCCCCAGTCTTCCTCCCAGATGCTGTAAGCATGGAGTAGAATATTCTTATCTGTTTTCCCCTTGCCTTAGAACACAAAGGTGGTCACTTTGAGTTGTAACTTGAAAAGCCTGTCTTGTTTGGCTGAAGCTTTCATATCCTTCATTGGAAATGCTGCCGTGTAACATTGCAGTCTTGTGCTGTGAATCACAATCTGTCTTCCTTCTCCCTAATGTAGCAGTATATTGATGAAACTCTTTCTTTCTGTGTTGGTGTTGCACCTGTGCTGGGCGAGTACGCTGACACTTTCTACATTAGAGCTGTTTTTCAGTGCTTAACATACCTAACCTAAATCCTCTTGTGGATGAAAGAAGGTGGTACACATATCAAACAGTATTTCTGACTTTTTTTTTTTTTTTTAAGCCTATCACAATTCTTTGTGCCTGACACTGTGTATTTTGAGGAGCAACTAGGGAAATCTGAAAATTGGAAGACGCGCTTTCTCCCACTTTGGGGCTAGGTGTCTGACTCTTCATTATTTCAGTTCTGAAATCATTGTACGGTGTTC